AGTGGTATTTTTGCAAATGAACACACCCCTAAGTGGTATTTTTGCAAATATGCACATAAAAAGTGTCATTTTTGTAATTTCTCATAGTATATTTCATTATTTTTCGTCGATTATCTATATGGGTAAGTAAACGTACAACTATTCTAGTAATTTTTTAATTGATTCAAAATACGTGCGGTGATCGCTTTTCTCATTTATTAACTATAATGTTTTGTTTATATGAATTAAATAGTGAATAGGGAATATGTGACATAAGGAACAAACTTTAAAATATCATATAAATCTTCTAGGTGAATGAATATAATACGATATTTATAGGGATTTATTACTATTTTAGTAATGGTATAATTTGATTGATTCAAAATACGTGCGGTGATCATTTAATCTCTCATTAGTTAGCTTAAACAGTGAATAGGGAATATGAGACATAAGGAAAATAATTTAAAATATAATACTATAAATCTTCTTCTTTTTTTTGTCAAATAATATAAATCTTCTAGGTGAATGAATTAAATAATCGACGTAGTTTTCTTTCCATGCAAAGATAACTAATCATGGACTTGAAATAAATAAGTAAAGAAAAGGCTCTACTTAGGTATTAGGCAACATGATTCACAAGGAATCTTATTGGAAGTATTATACAAATGTTTTTTGGTGACCATAAATAATAATCTAGTATTAGTTTGTTTTTTCGAGGGAACTAATCATTTGACTTTAACAGATTTCCTTCTCTTTCTTTAAACAGGAACTAAAATTGACTCATTTATTTTATGTCATGTCCATTACAATATTTAAATTAATTCCATATGGATTATGATATTCTTTTTTAATAATGTAGGGTGATAGAATCAGTTTTGAAAGACAAATAGAGAATCACCGAACGATGATTATGACGGCGAATGTGTCAACGGAGAAGCTGAAAAAATGTTTATACACAATTAATATTGGAAGCAATGATTATCTCAACAATTATTTCATGCCAGCTCCGTACACTACCAATGGCAAATTTACTTATGATGAATACTCTGATTTCCTCATTAACCGTTATCGCTCTTATTTGAAGGTAAAGACTATATACTCCAAAGTTTGTTTTCTTAAGTAATTAATAAATGAATTATAGACCTTTAAAATAGAGCAATATAACTTAATTAGAATATGAATAACATTTTCTAATATTTTCACATTACTTCTTTAGTTCTTTTTTATGTATATACAGACAAGAGTTATAAACGAAGACTATATCTTTAAATATACCCTTTTTTGTATAGTCATTGTATTTCCTAGGAGCAAGGAAGGTGGCGGTGTTTGGGGTCAGCAAGCTGGGGTGCACGCCGCGGATGATCGCCTCTCATGGAGATGGTCAAGGCTGCGCCACTAAGGTGAACAAGGCGGTTGAACCTTTCAACAAAAATCTCAAAGCTCTCGTCATTGAGTTCAATATACACTTCCCCGATGCTATGTTCACCTTCGTCGATCTCTTCTCCAGCCAAAATCCTATTGCATATGCTGCCTTAGGTGAGTAAT